CCCCCCCCGGCAGAATCCCATTACTGCCAATCCTGCCCCTCCCTCCCCCGGCAACTTTCCACTACTAACAATCCTTTTCTTACAGTATTACGATAATTGTTCAAGGTCTACTAATGAGTGAGAACATGTGATACTCAGTTCTTTGTTTCTGTGGTAGATCACTCAGTAAGTCCATCCAAGTTGCTGTGAAGTTCATAATTTTGTCCTTCATTATGGCTGTGTTTTTCCTCTTTCTTGGTGATCTTAATGTCTCAAAATGGCTCGCCAATAAATTTCTTGCCAATAATACTTGTCACCAACCACCTAACTCCTCTAGCAAGAGTACTGCTTCCCTGCTTACAAATTATGTGCAGAAGATATCAAGAACTCAACTACTTCACGGTTATCAAGTCCAAAATAGAAAAAAACATTAAGCTCATTTATAATATACTAACGATTATATTTTCCCTATCAGAAAGGGGCCCTTTTCCTTTTTTGAGGGAAAATCTCCTTTGCCCCCTCCCCCCTTGCCAAGTATTTGTTTTGAATGTAAATACAATATTTAAGTTTACTTAGTAAGCAATTAGTGGCAGCCCAGAACTCTTTCAACCTGACTTCTCTTTAAAAATTATTTCTCTTTTTTTCTCTGCTAATAGAACATAACATTTAAAAAACATTAAAAACCTAAAAAATAGCTGACAAGTGATTTGTCAAAAAAATGTCCAGTGAATGTGTTCTAATTTAAAAGTTGGATGTTAGAACCTGTTTTTATTTAGAGGGTCAACTACACTCTGTGCTCCAGAGAGCTCTTAAATATTTGTAGCGATTCCCCATCCTTTTGAAAAACAAAGCAAGCAAATGAAAACATTCTTGACAACTTCCTGGTTGAAAAGTAGAAACGTCTATAGCCCAAATTATTAATATCCAACAGCAAGTGTCCAATCTCATCTTTCCTGCCAACAATAAGCTGAGAAGAAGAATGTAGAACTATTGATCTACTCAAGATAAGAGACTGAGGTAGAAGAATACTTTTTTTGCAAATGTCCTTGGTTTCTTTTAATTTCTTTTCTAGAGAACTTGGCATTTGACATTAATTTTAAAAAGGAGAAAAATATCTGTGATGCCCTAAAACTACAAAGAAAGTAAAACTAGTTCACAGCTCCCCAAGGGCCTCTAGTGGCCAATATTGCCAAAACTTTAAGTTTCCATTGCTTCTCAATAATAACTGATTAGTTTTTCTATTGCTCAGGAAGCGCTGTAAGATTTCTGGCATATAGAAGTTATTCAGAATAAATTTGTTGGAAGAAAGAATCAGCACACGAGTGTTCCTTCTGTAAATATTGTTTATGTGGACTCAGTGGTTCCTGCTTCATTACTTTTGAAGCCAATAAAAAGGGATGTCTACCCATAATAACTACCCTGGAAGTTAGGGTTTGCGCTTGGCAAATTGAGAAATAGGTTGTTGGCTGGGCTCGGTGGCTCAGCCTGTAAACCCAGCACTTTGGGAGGCCAAGGCGAGAGGATTGCCTGAGCCTGCGGGTTTGAGACCCACCCGGGCAACTTGGCAAGACCTCGTCTCTACAATAAATCAAAAATTAGCCGGGCATGGTAGTGTGCACCTGAAGTTCCAGCTACTTGGAAGGCTGAGGTGGAAGGATTGCAGGAGTCCAGCAGATCGAGGCTGTGGTGGCCGTGAGCATGCCACTGCCCTCCAGCCTGGGTAACAACAGAGTGAGACTCCAACTCAAAAAAAGAGAAATAGGTTGTCAAGCAGGGCACAGTGATTCACGCTTGTAATCCCAGCACTATGGGAGGCTGAGGCAGGAGATTCACCTGAGGCTAGGTGTTTAAGACCAGCATGGGCAACAAAGTGAGACCCTGTCTCTACAAAAAATAGAAAACTTAGCTGAGTGTGGTGGTGCACGCCTATAGTCCCAGCTGCTTGGGAGGCTGAGACAGGAAGATTGCTTGAGCCCAGGGGTCTGAGGCTATGGTGAGTCATTATTGTGCCACTGCACTCTAGCTTGAATGACAGGATGAAACCATGTCGAGACAGAGAAAGAGAGAGACAGAGACAGAAAGAGAGAGAAATAGGTTGTCTTTGGTAACTTCTAGTCTTAAATCTATTTAAAGCTAGCTTGGTAGCTACACTGCATAGCCACGTTACAATATTTCACAGCAGTGTTGAAAAATAAGACTGAAAATACTTAGAGTTGAATGCTAATTACTTACATTGTTTACAATACTATACTGGGTATGTAACATGAAACAACGACTTGAGCAAAAGAAATGAGTCGCTACTGGTGGAATTTCAGGCATCAAGGATAAAGGCTGAGGGAGAAATCCCCCATCATTTTGCCTTATCTACTCAATCTACTCCAAAGTTTGACGCAGATACAAATCCTCAGTATAAGAGTAGATCTAACCATGTTAAAGTTATAAGGCCAAGGATAATATTTTAAATAAGGCCAAGGATAATATTTTAAATAGGACTTGCTGTTTATTTTAGGCATCCTCTGATAAGCTATTTCATCAGGCAAACCCTGATTTGATGTGAATAACCTATTTCCTAAAATTTAAAGCTGGCAAAATAGTAGACATGCCTAGGAAGAAAGATAAAGTCACGTTTACAACTTCAAAGTCCTGGTATCATCTTTGAATAGATGCAACTTTTAATAGGTTCCCAAGAGTAAATCACCATGGGTAGCTGCTTTCTTTATATTTTGGGATTTTCCTTGACATACATAGCTGGCATTGCCTTAGTACATTAGGATTTTTTTTTTTTTGGTTGGAGTCTCACTCTTGTCGCCCAGGTTAGAGTGCAGTGGCACACTCATGGCCACCGCAGCCTCAACTCACTGAGCTCAGATGATCCTTCCGCCTCAGCCTTCCAAGCAAATGGAACTACAGATGCATACCACCATGCCCGGCTAGTTTTTTTGTGATTTATTGTAGAGATGAGGTCTCACCAATCTGCCAAGTTGGTCTTGAGCTCCCAGGCTCAGGCAATCCTCTCGCCTTGGCCTCCCAAAGTACTGGGATTACAGGCTGAGCCACCATTCCTGGCCTACATTAGGATTTTAAACTGTGATTTGGATTGGCAATTTTAACCTAATTGTGCCAGTACTATTTATTTTTCTTCCCTTAAAGAAGCCCAAATGGCAATAGGCACCATTCATCAGCGAGCAACCTATTGGTGAGTAGAGAATTCCTTTTATTCTAACAGCGACTTTTTCAAAAACATGACCCTAGGTTTAAACGTTTGGTGATCCACTGGGCATATAGGGGAAAACACTGGACTCTTTTATACCGTATTTTAGCTCACAAATCTGACTGTCCATCTTCTTCAGCTTCTCACAAATCTTCATGGCAGGCATATGCACACTCATGGGGCGGGTGACTTCACTCAGGATCTTTGTGGCTGCATCTTTTGTGGCCCCAAGGTAATAGCACTGAAGAAAAAAGGAAGAGAATCGAATGTCCCAGACAATGAAAACACCAAGTAATACAGTGTTGTTGGGCGCGGTGGCTCACACCTGTAATCCTAGCACTTTGGGAGGTGTAGACCAGAGGACTGCCTGAGCCCATGGGTTCAAGACCAGCCTAGGCAACTTGGTGAGCCCTCATCTCTATAATAAATCAAAAAATTAGCTGGGTGTGGTGGCATGCACCTGTAGTTCCAGCTACTTGGAAGGCTGAGGCAAAAGGATCTCCTGAGCCCAGCAGGTTGAGGCCATGGTGGTCATGAGTGTGCCACTGCACTCCAGACTGGGTGGCAGAGTGAGACTCTGACTCAAAAAAAAAAACAAAAAACATTGTTGAGAAGTATGAAGGAGGTTAACCTAGTTTCCATGGTCCAGCTATTAAACTTTAACCCCTGCTGATTAAGACACAAGGAAACAAGTGACTTCACTCTCATGATTATCCTAATTAGAAGTACCCTACAATTCACATGATGTTAAAAGACTGATGAAAAGAGCCAACACTTACTAAGTGTTTTCTGTGTGCTGGGCACTACTCTCCATGCTTTAAAGGTATTAAGTTATTTATACCTCAAAACAATCCTGTGATGTAAGTACTGTTATTACCCTCATTTTACATCCAAGCCAGTTGAAGTTCATCCAGCTAACAAGGAGAAGAGACAGAATTGTAAAATCTGTCATTTTGGCTCTAGCGTCCATTTCTTTTACCATCATGTAATACTGCCTTTCAAGCTCCCTAACTTAAGAATTGTACATTTCAAAGTGTAAAATGTAATGGTGGAAATAAATGGCATGAGTTTACAATGTGTCCATGGTGGGCAGTCAGCAATGCAGATGTAACACAAATTCAGCATGACAACTTTAGGAAAAAAAAATAGCCTGAAATTATCCTTAGTGATGATGCAAAACAGTATATTAACACAAGTCCTATGTGTGTACCCAGGAAAACAGAAATATTTCATTCATTATGTATAAATAATAATATAAAGCGTGTTGATAGGCTTGACCTATGGAATAGGTATGAAATAGAAAGCCCACCTATTTTTACTTAACTCGGGGAAGCAAATTCTCATTAGAGATTCAGTTTTATAGTTTCGTTTAAGAAAACATAGAATGAGTTGCATGCTCAAAAAGTAAAATGAAGCTGGATATATTCTGGATGAAAATATGTAGGGGCTACATCTTGCTCTAATATGGATTTCTACTTGCCTCACCTCCTACGATGGATGTGCTTGAGGCAAGCATGTAAGTAGGAGGAAATCAAGTCTAAGAAGAGAAATGAAAGCATTAGCAGTTTTTTTCAGGAACACAGGAAAAGCAAAAGATGAAAATTTACCATACCAGGCGGTTTTCTTTTCCTTTGACATCCAAGCAAAAGTTGATCAACTCTTTCTCTATGGTATCCAGTGAAAAGTCGACTCCTCTGTCTATCAGGGAGTTGTAGAATCGGTTCAAGAATTCTTTGCATACTAAAAGGAACAAAGAAATATATCTGTATGCACAACTTAACCACTACCACACATAATGTTTATGACCACTTACCACATAAAAATGTAGGAATGGACTGATGCATCATGACAATGGATTCAAACTCTAGGTAAGAATGATTGCAGGACCATTGCTGATAACTTGGTTTTGGGCATTGTATGCAGTAGATGCTTAATATGAGCTTATTGAATCAATCGATCTTTGGAATCAAGCTTCACCTAAAATGAGAACTTTCCCACAAAATGTGACTAACCCTTAAAGAAAATATAGCCTTCTATGGGATAAGATCTTGGGACATCTTAGTTTAAATCACAAATGAAAATCCGAATAAGTGTCTTGAATGAATCTCCTTGGACATCTGCACAAATCTTTATGTTCCATCATCATAAGCCTGAAGTGAAACACCAATTTGAACGATTATTCAGTCCCCGTGTCCAGAGCCAGTGGAAAAGATGGAGCTCAGAAAAGGCACAGGTGATAACAATCACCACGGTTAACATTTGTCTGGTGCTAACAGGTGCTGACCCTATTCCAAAGCACTTTAGGTATTCGAACTCATTCACGTTTCACAACAAAGCTATGTTTAGATATAACACTAGCCTCATTTTTCAGATAAAGAAATGGAGTCAAAGAAACATCAACTAACTTGCCCAGTAAGTAGTAGACAGGGCATTAGGTTCCTGGGCATTGGTCTGACCCTGAGCCTGCACATTTCTCCACTAGGTTATCCTGCTGAGAGAGGAGGTTACTTTCCCAAATGGGCGAGTGTCTTGGCCAACTGAGCCAAGAAGGAAACTAAGGCCAGAAGCAGATGCTGGAAAACAGTGGCTCTAATGCTTGAGAGAAAATTCTAGGGAAATACTGTAGGGAAGAGTACAGATTGCTTAGCTCTTGATTCATGGTCACATGCTCTGTCCCCTGCCCCAAAGACCAGGTGTCTTATCGATTTGTCTGGTGAAAGAGGCAAGATCTATCAATTTCTCTAATACACAAACTAGACACCTCAGGTAGTTTAAACTATTTTCATTTGGTTAAAATCATTTATTCACTTAATAAACATTTGTTGAGCAATTTCTGTGTGTAAAGCACTATGAAAGAACTACAAAAGGATGAACTTCAGGAAGGAGGCAGACTCTAGAAAGAAAGATTAAGTAAAGGGAGGCCAGGCTCGGTGCCTCGGCCTGTAATCCCACGCTTTGGGAGGCCGAGATGAGTGGATTGCCTGAGTCTGCGGGTTCGAGACCCGCCTGGGCAACTTGGCGAGACCTCATCTCTACAATAAAAATCAAAAAATTAACCGGGCATGGTATCACGCGCCTGTAGTTCCAGCTACTTGGAAGGCTGAGGTGGAAGGATCGCCGGAGCCCAGCAGGTCGAGGCTGTGGTGGCTGGGAGTGGCCACTGCACTCCAGTCTGGGCAACAGAGTGAGACTCCGACTCAAAAAAAAAAGTAATGGGAGGAAAGAAAATGGCAAATGGGAGAAGATCTAAGTAAAGATTAACTATAGAAACAAGACAGTGGACATATAGGTGTGTAAACTTAAGATAAATCCCATATACAGTGCAATCATAACACTTGAGATGAGAAATAAAGGAGAATTCTAATTAAAATTTCTAGGTCTTTATTATCTAGGAAGAAGGTATAGAAAGATTTTTAAATCATATTGATGTCTAGCCAATTAAGCATGCTAAAAATGTCAGGATAATACTACAAATATATATAAATAGACAACTTCTAAATCGGTATTGATGCAGGGGTGGGGAGGGATGTTAAGAATTTTGTCAGTTCACTAGAAGTCAGGAAAGAGAAAAAAAATAAATGAAAAGGCACAATACTTTCTTTAAAATGCACAAAATTAAGTGACAGAAATGTTCAAATACATCATTAATTGCTATATGTGTAAAAGTATTAAACTTGCATTATATAGCAGATTTTTCTGATTACAACTTTAAAACATCCAACTATATGCTGTTTTATTATAAGAGATGTAAAAAGTATAAGCCACACAGGGGTGGCTATAAATAAGCCAGTTACACAAAGATAAATACTATACGATTCCACCTCTATGAGGTACCTGGAGTAGTCAAATTCATAAAGAGAGGAAGCAGAATGGTGATTGCCAAGGGTTGGGGGAGGAATTGTTGTTGATGCGAGGAATTGTTTAATAAGTATACAGTTTCCGTTCTGCAAGATGAAAAGAGTGCTGAAGATAGATGGTGGCGATGGTTGTATGTCATTGTGAATATACCTAGTGCCACTGAACTGTACACTTTAAAATGATTAAGATGGTGAATGTAATATTATGTGTCCTTTTTCCACAATTAAAAAGTGTGTTTAAAAAGTAGAAGGCTACAGAAAAGGTTAAAAAAACAAGAACAACAGCAACAACAACAACAAAAACAAAGAGCTTTAAAAATAAAAAGATATACCAGGTAAATGTTAACCAAAAACTATATGAAGCATTATTAGGGTTAGCAAAAGTCACTACTGATCATAAAATGAGCCATTTAAGAGGAAAATGGAATAATTTTGAACCAGTATACAGACAATAATATAGCTTAATATAAAAAATCCTGACAGAATTATAAGAAGATATTGACAATTTAGTCATAATGGTAGACGTTTAACACCCTCTCAAAAGTTATTTGATTAAATCAACTAAAAAGGACATTAAACATTTGAACAACACTATTCAGAAGCTTAAATATGGAAACTTTCTCCCTTAAATTAGAAAATTCACATTCTTTTCAAATAAATATAGAAAATTTACATAAATTTGTGGGTACTAAGACAAAAAGCGAAGTCTCATCAAACACACACACAAACCTGTATCAAACAGACAATAATCCCGGAACACAATTAGAAATCAATAACAAAAATAATAATATTACCAAGTCAATATCTGCCCTCCATATGCCTGGAAATTTTCAAGTACACACATTTAACTATTTCATGAGTGAAAGAAAAAGTAGCAATGGACATGTACAATTTTTTACTTTACAATAAAAATAGTGTCATAAAACTTGAAGATTACACTAGGACAGTACTCAGAAGTAAATGTATAATATTAAATGTATACATGTCAAAAAAGTGAAAAGTGAACAAGCAAGCATTCAACCTAAGAAGTTTTAAAAAGTACTGTAGCTGGGTTTGGTGGCTCAGCCTGTAATCCCGCGCCTTTGGGAGACTGAGGTGAGTGGATTGCCTGAGCCTGAGGGTTCGAGACCCGCCTGGGCAACTTGGCGAGACCTCATGTCTACAATAAATCCAAAAAATCAGCTGGGCGTGGTAGCGCGCACCTGTAGTTCCAGCTATTTGGAAGGCTGAGGCGGAAGGATCACCTGAGCCCAGCAGGTCGAGGCTGCGGTGGCCGGGAGCGGCCACTGCACTCCAGTCTGGGCGACAGAGTGAGACTCCAACTCAAAAAAAAAAAAAAAAAGAAAAAGAAAAAAGTACTGTAACTATATAAACCAAAGAATGTAAAAGACATTAAATAACAAAGATAATGGAAATTACGTAGAAAAAAGTTAAAATAAATAAAACTAATAGTTGGTAAAAATAGGCAAGTTTCTACCAAGGAAAAAACTGATAAATCAAAAATAAATAATACTCAGATATCAAAGAACATGTAAGTATTCTTGATAACTAAAAACCATGATAGCTAAAATTAAAGGAAAATAATCAACAGAAGATTCAGGAGATGAAGTTTAAAAAAAATTTCCCAGGCAACCCCTTTGGGTCCCTTCCCACTGTGGAAGATTTTCTGTTCTCTCAATAAATCCTGCTTAAAAAAAAATTCCCAGAAAGTAAACCAAAACCCAAAGAAATAGAAAATGAGTAATTAAATTTAAGAAATTTAAAAAGTCAAATACCTAAACATATGAGTTCCAGAAAAATATTATAGAAGAGAAAATTGTCAAAGGAGCAATATAGAAAATATTCCTATTATTGGAGGATATGAGTCTGGATTGATAAACTCCAATAATTGAAAAATATATATAACAAGGTACATAAATAAAGAAACTTTGCAGTACACTGGTGAAAAAAAAGAATTCTACAATTCTTCAAGGGAAAAAACAGTTGTAATAACAAATGCTTGCAAAACAAAATGTCATTAGATTTCTTAACACTAGATGCTAGAAGAAAAAAAAGGTGCGATGTCACCAAAACTCTAATGAAAAAATATTTTCATTCTAGAGTCTTATATGTGTTCAAGCAGTTAGTTTGAGCCCTAGTTGGACACACTGTGTGGCAGGTGAGAGCTGCCTATTTAGACAGAGCAGAGGCACAGAGAGCCCCAGGAATAAGTGTCCCAAGAAGAAAGCAGAACTGTTAGAATACCTGATGTGGTTAATGTGTCCAGAGACAATTTTCAGTTCTGCCTCCTCAAAAATGTAGGAATGAGGCTGGGCTCGGTGGCTCAGCCTGTAATTCCAGCACTTTGGGAGGCAGAGGCAAGTGGATTGCCTGAGCCTGAGGGTCTGAGACCCACCCGGGCAACTTGGCGAGACCTCGTCTCTACAATAAATCAAATGTTAGCCGGTCATGGTAGCGCGTGTCTGTAATTCCAGCTACTTGGAAGGCTGAGGCAGAAGGATCACCTGAGCACAGAAGGTAGAGGCTGCAGTGGCCATGAGCATGCCACTGCACTCCAGCCTGGGCAACAGGTAAGACTCCAACTCAAAAAATAATAATAAAAAGTAACTTCTTTTCTTTTTAATTATTATTATAAAGATGTGGGGTACAATTCAGCGTTAGGTATACAAACACTGATCATGCAGGTACCCTTGTTAATGAGGTATGCCCCTCCCTCCCCTAGCAGTTTCCCTTAACTACACGGAAGACTGAGGCGGAAGGATTGCTGGAGCCCAGAAGGTCGACGTTGGGGTGGCCGTGAGCATGCATGCTACTGCACTCCAGCCTGGGCGACAGGGTGAGATACCAACTCAAAAAAAAAAAAAAGTAGGAATGTTTTAATGA